AATTGAAATATATTTTTATTATGTACTTAATTTTTCTTAAAAAGATATTTTTTTTAAATTTTTATTGGTCAATTTATCATAGAAAAATGTTGGTGCACATTACGGAAGTAAGAATACAGCATACTCGGCGGTTGCGCGATCTAGAAGCTATCGACGCCATTTTTCTTTACTTATAAAATTGCTGACGAAGAAGACGTTCGAACATTTTCATGAAATTTAATTCTTTTAAGTTTATTTCCTGAAGAAAATTCAATATATAAAATAATATAATTTAATTGACCTCTATTCGTTTTTTATGTATTAATTTGTATAGAATAATAATAAAAGATTTGATCTCATAAATACTTTATATAAGAACATTGATTTACGGGAAATTTTATATCTTGAATTTATACTTTTTTTTAAAATTTATATCTAAATTTATAATTTTTTTTTAAAATTGTTAATGTATTTACAAAAAATTATATTTATTTTAAAAGGTAAATTTTAACAAATATATATATATATATACTATTTATTTAAAATAATATATAATTGATAAAATAAAATATAATTTCAAGTTAATTTAAATTTTTATATTTTATGATTACTATTTTGATATTTTAAATGTATTTAATTTTATATATATTAAAATAAAAATTGATTAACTTTTTTTAATTTTCAATAACTATTTTTTTGAATCTTTATATATAATTATTCTCAATAAGTTGTATATTATTATTATATAATATTACCTATATTGAGTTAATAAAGATCGATCGCAAAATGAATCAATAATACGAACATTAGATTTTTTTATATATCTCGTCTCTTATTTTTATTATCATTTATTCCAAGATAATTTTTATAACTTTTTTTCATAATAAGATATATATCTTCATTATAATTTTAATGAATAGTAAAAAAACTTTAACGTGAATATAAAGAGATATAGTAAATAAGTACGTAAGTATTATAGAAAATTGGTTTTCTGACACGCGTGTTTAATTTCCGCTTCTCCAAGTGATTTCCGGTTTACAGACGAATGATGATTTGACAGGTACCGTTTAAAACATATACATGTGTATGCATATCGTAAGAAAAACAGGGAGGAGATTAAATACTCGATTTTGTTGACTAGAAAACAAACCTCGAGCAGTTATTTCGCTTGAAGCAGGTTATCCTCTGATTAAATGACCGTTGTAAATAGATATGTTAATAAATCCACGATCTCATATTAATCGATTTATGCTGCCAACCAGAAGCACCGAATACATCACGATGTTTTAATTTTCAAGACTCGAAAAAATCGGATATGTTCGTTGGATCTTTATTTCCTCCCTCCTTTTCCTTCTTTTCTCTTTTTAGACACGATTAGATCGTTTTATTTCGATACTGCAAATTATCTTCAAATACCTCGTCATCGGCGCTAACAGTAGCCGACAAAACGAAGGATGAATTGTAGAAAGACTACAAGTAGAGACAACTAGCCCCTCCCTCCTCTTTCACCAACTTGAACAGAACGATGGCGAGCCGAAGTGACGCAGGTCAGGCGCCATCTGCAATTCCAATTGTGATGCTGGTATCCACATACTCCTCAAACGCCCCCACTTCCTCTAGTTTGTTTCTCCTGCAGCCCTCGATACAACTGCAGGAGAAAAGAATGAATTGATGATGACAATAGTTAGCTCATTAAATAAAGGAAACAAGTTATCTCATCTTAAAAATATCTCCGTATTAAAAATATTAAACAAATTAATTAAACTAAACATAAAAAACAATATGATAAATATTTCGATTTGATTTTCCGTTTTCATTCTTTTATCATACCTATTCTTTTGCATGTGAATTTTGGTATTAATATTTAGCAATATAATATTAATTATTTCTTTTAATTCTTTTAAATTTTAAGTTTTTAGTTTTCAAAAGGCGTAAAAATAAACAATACATTAAAATAAGGATAGAAAATCTGCAACTACTATCATTTCATTAGAAATGTTTTTTATTACATTAATAAATTATATTAATAAATTATCCAGGTAATAAATGGTTTATCTTTATATATATATATATATCTAAATCATTTAAAATCATCCATAATACATAATAGTTAAATTTTTTTAATATTAAATTATTTCTTTCGTTTGCATTACTTTATAAATACGATATTACTAAAAATTAATAATATTATTCAAAAATTTGTTTTAAATTTTAGATTATTAAAAATAATTTGTTAATTTACATGTATTTAATATTAATTTTTAATTTCTATTAATTATTGTAAAATAATATATTTAAGATATACTAAATTTTCTAAATCATAATTCCTTTTTTTCTAATTAAAAAAAAGTGAATTTACTTTTTACTAATAAAAAATAAAAAAAAATTATCATTATACATTCTATTAAAAATATAATTTTTAAATAAAAACAGGTATATATATCTAATAAATTAAAAATTTTTTTATTATTTTTTTTTAATTTTACTTTTTTTTATTATAATTTCCATAAAAAATATTAATTAATAATATAAAATTTTAACTAGGAATAGTATTAATTAAATAATTATATTAATTGTTTGTATCTTATATATAATTTTTTCATATGATATAGTATTAAATAATAATATCTTAAATATATAATATTTTATATTTTCTTTTTTATTAATAAGAATTATTTCTAATTATTTATTAAAATTTATCATGAAAATATAAAATAATATATAAATATATATTTTAGCTATCAGAATTATATAGATTGTTTTCTTTACAGTTTTATATTATATTTTATTATATATTTTTATATTTTTTAAAAATTGCATCATTATTAATAAATCAATTTTCAAAATTTAATGAAATTATCATATTTTTTAAAAAATGATTTATAATAAACAAATGGTATCAAAGTTATATATTATTATATAACTATAATAATATAATTATAATTATATAACTATATATATAATATAATTATATAACTATAATAAGTTATATTATTATTATATAATCTTTTTGTATAAAAAAAATTAAGATTATTTTTAATTATTTATATTTTTTTATATTATTTTATATTTTATATTATTTTTAAATATTTATATTTCTATTATTCGGAAATTATTAAATATATTTTATTATAAATATATATAAATATATATAAATAATAATTATTATTTATTAAATATATTTGAATTGATATTTTATATAAATAAAATATAAATATATGAATTTGTTAAAATGATTATAAATAGATTATAAATCATAAATAAAAATAAAATAATTCAATATATAATTAATATATTAATTAAAATATATTAATTAAAATAAATTAGTAATCTTTTTTTTTTAATCTTATGCAAAATATATACTTTCAATAGATTTTTCAAAATTCCGAATTCTATTCTAATTCTAAGTTTATCGTCAGAAAAATATTAAATTTAATACAGAATTTTATAAAAGAGTTATAAAAGATCAAATTGATTGTAAAAATACTAGCAGATCTTACTAAAGGTATATATTCATGTCAGAAACTTTCAGATTTTTTTTATAACTTATCATAAACTGATAGAAGAAATATAAAAATTTGCTATATTCTATGATAGAAACACAGTAAAAAGTCTACGATAGAAACACAGTAAAAACACAACATTTCAGTTAATTTATTGCTAAATTAAAATTTAATATCCGTAACAAGATTTAATATCAAGATTTCGAAAACTTTGCTGCTAACATGTTTCGTTATCATGCAAAAAAAAAGAAAAAGATTAAGATAAAATATGTATTAAATATTAATCTATTTTTTATTTAATATATCTATTAAATTATATAATTTTATTTAATATATCTATTTAATTATATAATTATTTAATATTATTTATATTTATTATATCTTCATTTATTGTTTTAATTTCTTAATTTATCATTGATTTTTTAAAATAGAATAATAATATATTAAATTAACTTAGTATTAACTAATTAACTTAGTATTATTATAATACATATTATAATAAATTATTACTTATCTTTAGCTATTTGCAGCTATTTTGATGAATTTTCCGAAATATGTATAAATTTTTTTTCACATTCGATTTCAAAGTTAATGATCTAGAATGATGTATAATAATATACGGAATAATAAGTTTTCATTAATTAAGTGAATATTAGAATTTATATGGTAATATATATTAGGTATATTGCATAGTAATTATTTAATAAAAAAGTATATATTTTTAATTTTTAATTATAATAAACACATATGTTCAAAATAATATATTACATAATTTAAATCAGTTAAAATTAGTTTAGTATATGATTATAGATATTATTCAATATCATTAATTATGTAATTTATATAAATATTATTAATAATAATTTTTAATTTTTTAAATAAAAAATAAAATAAAATTATAATTTAAAAGAATTATATAATATCAGATTTTGTATAATAATTTACTTTTATAAATATAAAGGTTATGCCAATTATTATATTTCATCTTTTATGAATTGATAACCTTATCTTTAAAAATTAAAAAAATAAATATTTTTTTTTGTATTATTTCTTTGGTATTATTATAAAAAGTTATTTTTAAATATTAAACATAAACTACGAAATTAATATTCTTTTTTATAATTCTTACAAATAATATACTTTGAATGAAATCAATTTACAAATATATGAAATAAAAATTACTAAATAAAAAGATCAAATGACAAACTCATGTAAATAAAATTCAGTTAACTTTATAAGAAATTTAAATATATTGAATTATTATCAATTTATTATATTATTTAAGACTAATGAAATATTTAAGAAAAAATATATAATTTAAATATTTAAATAATATTTAATAATTACAATATATATAACTTAATATTAATAATAATATAATAATATTTAATATTAATGTTTGAAAAAGAATTATTATGTTTTTTCGTGAAAGGAAAGTAAAAAGAATAAAAATTAATTTTTTACAACAATTTTTAAAGATATTAAAAAAATATATATGTACATATAATATTAAAACAGAATTTGATGAATATATTTTTACAAAAATTATAATTACAATATATTAATCTCAATTTCATTTATATTATTACATTTTATTTTTGTAATCTAAATGCATATTCTTTTCCCATAACCATATATTAATAATAGTTTTTTTTAAGTATATAATTAATACTTTGATAACATTTTATTAGAAAGATATTCTAGTCAGTTTAATTTTAGTTGTTTTCGCAAATTTTCTGCTAACTTATCTATAAATTCAAATGTTTCTAAATAATCAGATCTAGTAACATTATTTATGCCTTTGATACAAATTGCAAGATCTTTTGTCATGAAACCTGATTCAATAGTATTAATACAAACTGCTTCCAATGTTTCTGAAAATTGTTTAAGATCTTTGTTATCATCCAATTTTGCACGATGAAGTAAACCTCTTGTCCATGCAAATATAGAGGCAATGGGATTTGTTGAAGTTTCTTTTCCTTGTTGATATTGTCGATAATGTCTTGTAACTGTACCATGAGCAGCTTCAGCTTCCACAGTACGTCCATCTGGACAAATTAAAACTGAAGTCATCAGACCTAGGGATCCATAGCCTTGTGCTACACAATCAGATTGAACATCACCATCATAATTTTTGCAAGACCATACAAAACCACCGTTTGATTTCATTACATATGCTATCATATCATCTATCAAACGATGCTCATACCAAATATTCTTGGCTTCAAATTGTGCTTTATATTCTTTGTCATATATTTCATGAAAAATATCTTTAAATTTACCATCATATTCTTTAAGAATTGTATTCTTTGTAGAAAGATACAAAGGATAATTTCTTGATAAAGCATATTCAAAAGAACTATGAGCAAAAGCACGAATACTCTCATCTGTATTATATTGAGCTTGAGCAATGCCAGGTCCTTTGAAATTATGAACTGTATGCTGAATTTTTTGTTCATTATCTCCAGTCCATATAATTTCAAGTTTTCCTGGACCAGGTATTATAAAGTCTACTGCTTTATATTGATCTGCATGAGCATGTCTGCCAATGATAATTGGTTGAATCCAATTATTTACTAATTTTGGTATATTTTTACAGATAATAGGTTCACGAAAAACTGTACCACCTAAAATATTTCTAATAGTACCATTTGGACTTTTCCACATTTTTTTTAAATTAAATTCTTTCATTCTTTTTTCATCTGGAGTAATAGTAGCACATTTGATTCCTACATTATATTTTTTAATAGCCTCAGCACATTCTATAGTCACATTATCATTAGTAGCATCTCGATTTTCAATACTCAAATCATAAGTATATAATTTAATATCTAAATATGGTAAAATAAGTTTCTCTTTAATGGAATCCCAAATGATTCTTGTCATTTCATCACCTAAGATATCAACAACAGATCCAACCTAAAATAAATAGTAATAATATATAGAATGCATTATATATAAAAAAATTAATACAAAATCAAATCATAATATATAAATATTATTTTATATTTATATTATATTATTTATATTATATTATTTATATTATATTATTTATATTATATTATTTATATTTATTTTTATTTATAAAAAAAAAAGAAAGTTATTTTCAAAATAATTAAGTTAAAGTTAAAAAAATTTATTAAAAAAATAATACAAAAAATTTTAATTAATTGAAATATATATATACACACACAGAATATATATATATATATATATATATACAGATGTCAATAATGCAGTTTTATTAATTACTTACCTGTATTTTAGTCATTGTTATAGAAGAAATGTTACTAAATGTTTTAACGAATAAAAATGTTGAATTATTGAATGATTGATGAATTTTTGGCAATAATATTTGTGAGGAAACAATATTGTTACTACAAGATTTGATATAAGCCCTTCTTATAAAATGCACGTTCGCTTTATTAAGATGGTGGCAAAAAAACATGGCAATCTTGTCCAAATTATCTTAATATATTTTCTACTGTCGTATTTCGATCGTATTTACTATTGTATTTATTATTCTTATCTATACTTTATATAACTTACAAGAAGTTTCCGTAATAGATTTTTTTTATCGATGAAAATAAATTTCTTTATCAAAAAATATTTGTATTTTTATGTCTTAAATATATATATACTTTCGATTCTTTATATGATCTTATATGATCTTAACTTTAAACAATCCGCGAATATTACTTTCACTAAAGTATTTTATATAATAAAATAACAAATAGATAAATATAATAAATATATAAGGTTTATAATAAATCTTTAAATGATGAAATATGATATTAATAACTAGTAATGATATATTATTATATTAATGATATTTCTTATCTATCATATTTCTATATAATCTTTGAAGTTTGTACTACTATAGATAAGTTATGTTTATGTACGGAAATTTAAATGCAGGTACTTCTCTTAAACATGTTTATACATAAATTACACAGTTTTTTTAAACATAATTCGAATAACCTTCAAAATTTAAGACAAACTGTCATTTTTTTTTTGTTTTTCTAAAAAATTAACAAACAAGTTAAGCATTTCGACATTATATATATCAATTCCATTGTATGATATTTAAATTTTTCTATTACTATTTTCAACTAAAACTAAAAAAAATGGACATTAACTGAATATCATTAAATAATGATTTCCATTATCCTTCAGATTACTATTTACATTTTATAAATACATTCATAAAACAAATATAAGGTTAGTACAAATAAAACATATATGTCATATAATAGTGTACATGTGATACAAAACATTTACATTATATTTTATTTTATTTTAGTTTAATTATATTTATTTTAGTTTAATTTAATTAAAATATTATTATATTTTATTTTAATTTAATTTAATTTAAAATTATTATTTAACCAATTATCATTATTTAACCAATTTTTAAATAATATATTAAATAACTATCTACTTCAAAAAAGATAAAAAAATATCATCTTTCAAAAATTAATACATATTAACTTTATTTAATAATATTAATATTTCACAATATTAATTACTATTTTTTTTAAATTTTTTTATAAAATTTTCTTAAAAACTAAATAACTCCGGATTTTTAAACTACGACAAGGAAGTATAAATAGATCTATGAATACAGGGACAAACGTTCATACAAAATTATTCATGTAAAGCGTTCTTTAAAAAAAGAATATATTAAATTGATTCGAAGGATTATTGTTATAACTTACTGATATTAAGTAAGTTAATAATTTAGATTTATATTAATAATATGTAGATGTTAAAAGTAATATGATTGATTTTATTTAAGAAATAAAATTCATGAATATGATAAAAATACTAGTCTGAAGTAAGCTACTTCTAATTGCGAGTAATTTTCATAGTTATTAAACAAATTGAATTAAAAATATTATTTTTATGATATTTAATTAATAAATTTGTTAAATTCGAAATTAAAGTGATATCAATGAATAATATATAAAATAAAAAAAATAGCTTCTTTTCATGGCGCTGTAAAATAATGAAATTTGTACTGAGCGAATCTATACTGACAACAGTGTTCGTGATTCATGTGCATGGAACATATCGTTGTGAATGATATATTGTGTACTCAATATCGGATCATAGGATGAAAACTCGAGTTTTCACAATCTAAATTCACTATGCCTCGAAAGACGCTGAGAACGTACCGACAATTACGTTAATGTGCTCAAAAATCATCAAAATTTGTGTGTATTATTGAAATTTGACAGATTCATTGCTTCGTGACAGGAGTGTGTGATTTTTCCTTTTTTTTTTTTTTTCGTTTGTTTCACCTTAGTTCAACCTCCTTATCTATTTTCCTCTCATATTCATCTTTCCCTTTATATTTCAATCCTTGAGTATCTTATCTCTCATTTTCATCTACCGGATAAAAAGAGAATACTTTTTACCCTTTCTCTCCTCTCCATTTCCCTTTCCTGTCTGTCTTTTTCTAAGTTTTTCATTTTTTTCCCCCTCTTCACCGATACATCTTATATTTTTCTTTCTTTTACTAAATGTTCATGATAACAACAATTTTTGACTCTCCTGCATAACGTGAACGTGGATGAGTGATCATATTTTCACGCAATAGCCGATCGTCGGCTATTCTACCTTGTACGCGAATGAATGCTCCCTACGTTTAACTGGTGTCAATGTACACACGGTGTAACGTTATTATAGCATTGGCCAGAGAGCTAAAAGAATCTTCGTTCTAAAAGAATCTCCGTTCAACTAGAAATTCGACATGATGAAGAGCAGTGCTATGCTTAAGAAAGAAAGCAAAATGCGCATACGTGCTTTTCCGGTGAGTATGGCTTCGTTTGTTTTTTCTTTCTAGCCTTCATTCGTTTTTATCTCTTAAAATTTAATTGTTCTTATATTTTGTTTTTTTTCTTTTTTTATTTTTATTTAATATCTATAAATAAACTAATAAATATACGCTATTCAAATTTATGCGTATATACATTTATATATACTCAGTTCTTTTTAATTGTCAAATTATAAAAAAATAGAATAATTTATAAAAATAGTTTTCATCACCTGATTTTTTACAAAAACTCTTCTTTTTATACTTTATAGGATAACAACGCATAGTATCATAATTTAGATGTTATTTATGATCAATATACTGTGTCTTTGAACTTTAAAGAATCATGTTTATAATGTTGTATATATTGTCACAAAGATGAATGTATCAGCAGTTGCTATAGTGGCATATAAAATAAAAGCAATGAAATATAAATATTTCAATATTATCATGTTTATCAATGAATTTCAGTTTATTCTGTCAATAAAGTTTGGAACTGTGATTATTGTCTACTACTAAATTGTGATTGTAAAAATTATATCTCCTGTGCTAAATAATATGACATTAAAAATTGATCAAATAACATTTTAATATTATATTTAAAATACTAATGAAATATTCTTTGTGATCATATCTTATAATTATAATTGACTAGTAAAATATTCTTTGTATTTGTTATTATTATTACATAATTTACTTTTATCTAATAAAGCAATAAAGCATAAAATTTGTATTTGTACAATGACAAAATAATATTGATAAATTAAGCATTGTTATTTATTTAATATTCATAATATTTCTTTTATGTAATAAAGGCAATGTTAAAATAATTAATGTAAGAAAAAAAAGGTTAAAATATGAAGCTAAGAATACTTGAACATTCAAAATATTCTAATATAATATATAATTATATTCTTTTTAGATATTATTCTATATCAATTATATTTTATTAATATTAAAAACTATATTATATATAATTCAATGCATTCCATTGATTTTTTTAATAAAATTTATTATTTGTAATAATATTCTCACCTGTTTTTGATTTTTTATTAAATTAATTTTAATTCTCAAACATTATTTACATTAATTTTTAATAATCAATATAAATTTAATAATCAAATCAAATATCAAATATTTAATTTATTAATTTTCTTTTAGACAACTATGGATGAAAAGTATGTAGAAAGTATTTGGGCACTATTAAAAAATGCTATTCAAGAAATTCAGAAGAAAAATAATTCAGGGCTTAGTTTTGAAGAGCTTTATCGGAATGCTTATACTATGGTTCTTCACAAGTATGGTGAACGTTTATATACAGGTTTAAAAGAAGTTGTAACACATCATTTAGAAAATAAAGTTAGAGAAGATGTATTAAGATCTCTTCACAACAATTTTCTTCAAACATTAAATCAAGCTTGGAATGATCATCAGACATCTATGGTAATGATAAGAGATATTTTAATGTATATGGATAGAGTTTATGTGCAACAACATGATGTGGACAATGTGTATAATTTAGGACTTATCATATTTAGAGATCAGGTAAATGATTGTCACTTATTTCAAAAGCTAGAATAATTGTAATAAAGATTTTATAATAAATAATTATCTTATTTTTAGGTGGTCAGATATGGATGTGTTAGAGATCATTTAAGAGAAACTTTACTAGGCATGGTAGCAAGAGAAAGAAGAGGAGAAGTTGTAGATCGCATTGCAATAAAAAATGCCTGCCAAATGTTAATGTTACTTGGCATTAACAGTCGTCAAGTTTATGAAGAAGATTTTGAAAGGCCTTTTTTACAACAAAGTGCTGAATTTTATAGAGTAAGAAAACTTTTTTTAAATTTTATAATATTATTATTTAATTTGATTTATAATATAATTATTTAATTTTATATTATATAATATTATTTTTTAATATTTTTTTTTTTTGATTTAGATGGAATCTCAAAAATTTTTGGCTGAAAATAGTGCATCAGTATATATAAAAAAAGTTGAAGCTAGAATTTGTGAAGAATCAGAAAGAGCAAAACATTATTTAGATGAATCTACTGAACCACGAATAGTAGAAGTTGTAGAAGAAGAACTAATTAAAATTCATATGAAAACTATTGTCGAGGTATAAATATAATATTATCCCATTAACATAATATTTAATATTATTGTGACAATTTAAAAAATGATAAATATAAATAACAAATTAGAACAATTTATCTTTTTATTTGAAGATGGAAAATAGTGGTGTAGTACATATGCTCAAAAACCAAAAAACTGAAGATCTTGGCTGCATGTATAAATTATTTTCGAGAGTTTCGGATGGTTTACGTACTGTGTGTGATTGTGTTTCTCAATTTCTTAAAGAGCAAGGCCGTGCTATGGTTCAAGAGGAACATGAATCAACGACAAATGCAGTTCTTTTTATTCAGAACTTGCTAGATTTAAAAGATCGTTTTGATCATTTTCTTCATTATTCGTTTAATAATGATAAGAATTATAAACAAATGATTGCATCTGACTTTGAATATTTTCTTAATTTAAATACAAAAAGTCCAGAATATCTTTCGCTCTTTATTGATGATAAACTGAAAAAAGGTGTTAAAGGGGTTAGTTTAACTGTTTATTTTTATAAATAAATTTTTATGGTAGATAATGTTATAAAACTTTAATAAATATCTTACATTCTACAAAAGATTGCTGTATTTAAATAAAATATATAAGTTTTATCTTTTATTTCAATTCCTAATCTAAATAATACAATTGTATATAATATTAATCAATGTTTATGTTAATATATTTTAGATGACAGAACAGGAAATCGAAGGTATCTTGGATAAAACTATGGTTTTATTTAGATTTCTTCAAGAAAAAGATGTATTTGAACGATATTATAAACAGCACTTAGCTAAACGTCTTCTTTTGAATAAATCTGTGTCTGATGATAGCGAGAAAAACATGATATCTAAACTTAAGGTAATTTTTTTTTTAATTTATTAATATAGATTATTTAATAATTAATTATTTTAGACTGAATGTGGATGTCAATTCACATCAAAATTGGAGGGAATGTTCAAAGATATAACAGTTAGTAATACTATTATGGATGAATTTAAAGATCATGTCCTTACATCCAATGTAAGCATTTATAAGTTAAAATATTTATAATTATTTCATAAATAATTAATTTTTATACTTTCAATTTTATATTTTATAGACAAATCTACATGGAGTGGATATAAGTGTAAGAGTTTTGACAACCGGTTTTTGGCCGACGCAATCCGCAACTCCAAAATGTAGCATGCCAGCTGCTCCACGAGATGCTTTTGATGCTTTCCGACGTTTTTATCTTGCTAAACATAGTGGTCGACAATTAACATTACAACCACAATTAGGTTAATTAATTAATATTGCTCTTTTTATTTATGTCTTTAATTTTGATAATATAAATTAATATAATCTTTTTAGGTTCTGCGGATTTAAATGCTGTATTTCATGGACCACGAAGAGAAGAAAGTAGTTGCGGTGGCTTAGATACACCATCGTCTTCAAGTTCCATTGGCAATGGAAGTAATCTGTATGGTACTGGAATATCTACTAATGGTAGTATTTTAAGTCAACGTAGCAACAGTTGTGGAAATACCAGAAAACACATCATTCAAGTATCAACTTATCAAATGTGTGTATTAATGCTTTTCAACAAAAGAGAAAAATTGACTTACGAGGTTAGTTTGAATATTTAGTTTTATTTTCCGATTTTTATTGAAGAATATTGAAGTCTTCGTGATTATCTATACAATATATAAAACGTTGTGTAGGAAATTCAAGGTGAAACCGATATTCCAGAGAGAGACTTGGTTAGAGCATTACAATCTCTCGCAATGGGAAAAGCTACACAAAGAGTGTTATTAAAGCATCCTCGTACAAAGGAAATAGAACCTTCACATTATTTTTGTGTTAACGATAGTTTTACCAGTAAATTACATAGGTATCTTATTTACAATAAATCAAAATCGATATAATAATTAACAAATTTGTAAATGAAAATATTATTAAATCAATTTATTTAATTATATATTATATATTAATTATATTTATTATTATTTAATTATATATTATATATTAATCAATTTATTTAATTATTTTATATTACTTATAAATTATTTATAATTTATTTTAGAGTAAAGATTCAAACAGTAGCTGCAAAAGGCGAATCAGAACCTGAAAGAAGAGAAACTCGCAACAAAGTAGATGAGGACAGAAAACATGAAATAGAAGCAGCTATTGTTCGCATTATGAAAGATAGAAAGCGTATGCCTGTATGTAACATTTATGTAGCATTATTCTTATGATTTATTATTTTAATATTTTTTAATATATTTTTATTTCATATTATATTTTTTTAGCACAATATACTTGTAACTGAAGTAACAGAACAATTAAGAGGTCGATTTTTGCCGTCGCCTGTAATAATTAAAAAACGTATTGAAGGTTTAATTGAACGTGAATATTTGGCTCGTACGCCGGAAGATAGGTTTGTATAATTATTATTATATAATTATTATTCATTTTATTTTTAGCAATTGTTTTTAATATTAATATCAATTTAATTATAGGAAGGTATATACGTATGTTGCTTAATGCTCGAATTTAAATGTTGGATCTGTACAAACATGTAAGTAATCTATAATAGTATCTATTTCTTTAAATATCTTTTCATTATCTTATATTTTATCAACTTATATGTTACATCTTCAGTTTTTCATTAATTCATTGAAAATTGTTATCATCTCTAGTATTTTTTTATAAACGTAATTAAGATGATCACGAACGAGGCATTCCACATCATAAATGTATATGGTCATAAACACATTATATAATATAAAACTCGGATAAATTATTAATTTAACATTCCATTTATATTAATTTATATTAATTATTTATATAAATCAATTTCTATTTTATGTTTTAGGTTTTGATAAATTTTTATATTATCTGTTTACTTTAAATATAGTTATTATATATAGTATTTACTACATATTAATTTTAAAAATAATTATATTTATCTCAAAACCTAAAATTTAAAATAGAATTGCATAAAGAAAAAATGATTTTATAAATTTAAATTAATTGATGTCGATTGCCTCGAAAATAAAAAAAATAGATAAATCTGTTTAATAATTGGCTAGTTTGGTGGAAAAGGTTGACATGAAGATAATTGAATGATCTAGAATATATATTTTCAAGTATCAAAGTAAGTTTTTTACAAAAATATATTCTGTAAAATTCTTGATATCCTCTTCCTTGAATTCATTTTATCATATTTCAGTTGTATCTATATGATTGATTTAATTAAATATATAAAAATACTTACTATAATAGAAAATTGTAATTTAAGTTCAACAGCATTCAGTTGAATATACGTTATATACAAACATTTATTAGTAATAAATGAAATTTGTTATCGTTAAAATTGATTCATTCGTTATGTGTGTTATGATTCAGCATTTTTTTATATTTGTAATCTATTTACATATGTATCTATGATCAAAAACAAATCTACACGAATATAGTGATAAATTATTAGTGTTATATACGAAGATTTTATTTACATTCGTGATTATCTATTATGTGTGTACATAAACATGTGAATGTATATCTAAGAATATATTTGCCTCATTTTAATATTTGATTACTTTATTTTAATCATTTTCCATATCCTAAAATTTTAGAATACAAGTAATGATTTTAGTAAGTTTTCTGCGAGCTCCACCTCTTCCACCTAGCTCATCAATTATTTTATTACAATTGAATTAATCCAATTTTTCGTTAAATCGCAGAATATTTATTATAGTATGCCAAAAGTGGAATCTCTACGAATTTGTAACAGATGCGGAAATAAAAAAAAGAGACAATGTCACAGATGGTGAAATAAAAAAAAGAGTGCGCGCAGTTTATATAAAAGACGAAGAACTTAATAAAGGAATGAGACAAAAATTATGATTAAAGACCGTATTATTATGAGCTCGTATGTTGACGAAATGAAATGAAAAACATGCGAAATGCATCATATTTTTATTTCCATTTATACCTTTATTTATTAATATAGAGTTTTAATATTTAAACAAAAGGTTTTACCCTTTCTTACGCAAACTAAATAAAAAATAAAACCCTGTAAAAGCAATCTTTAGTTTCGACACATTTTAAATATAAGAATATCGTATTAATTCTATCCAATCCTTTGTTATTCCATTTTTTAACATTTCCTATTAAATTAACCTCTTAACGTCTAAATTATGAAAATAAAATTTTACAGTATAAGTAAAATGACAATCAATTAATATTTAAAATTACAAAGCATGTACTTGGAATAATAGACGTTAGAAGTAAAAAGACGTAAAGAAGTTAAATACAATTTCTATTATATATTATAATATATAATATATTATAATTATATTTAAAATTGTAGTAAATGCTAATATCAATATATCAAAATATTGCAGAGTTTACAGTTGAATTATTCTACAATATAATATATCACATAAAGTAATAAATTAATAAAATTATTAATTCAATTATTTGCTATTTAATGAAATAATGTTATTTCAAAAAAATAAAGATACATATTACAATTAAAGTAATTCAATTGTAATTTTGCGAATATAACATCAAATCATACAAATCAATTTTCTATATACTTTTAAAAGATCAAATTATATTTTCAATATAGTATTAAGAAAAATATTTTCAATCAAAATTAATATAATCAATTTAGCAATTAGTTAAATTTTATATATACATTTACATAATAATCATTTAATGATTTTGTATTTAATTGATGTGAACCAAAATTTACCTATAACTTCACACAACACATTCATAATATATTTTCTAATATTAGAAATAAATGCATTATTCTATAATATTATACTTTTTCACAATAAATTGTAATTTTGCTTTAGCAAAAAAGAGCAATTTGCATATTTATGCTTTTTAAAATTATATGGATTGTCCATAAAATACAACTTCAAAATACAAATTGTATACAATATCATACAGTTTATTATACTTTTACTTTACTCTGAAAAATTTGTTAATTCACTTTATAAACATTACAATTTGCACATAATATCATTGTCGATAGTTAACCAATACTGTACACATGTATCTCAATCAACTTGTTTTTCATGTAACAGAGAAGTCTATATTTGTTTGAATTAAATTAGGTGACAGGTGGCAGGCATCATGGTGAGTAAAATTGATCACTCGTGGTTATTCATTAGAAGATGATTCCCGCCTTTTTTCTGCATGTTTTTTTGTGAATTCCTCTGCATTTTTTAAAAACTTTTTTCTATCTTTTAAAAATTCTTCTGCAAGATCTGCTCTTAATGGATGTTCTGGTTCAGGATCATTCACTAATGCTATCAAAGCTTGCACAACTATAAGTATAATAAATCAATTATATGTTACTTCTTTTCTTATATGGATAAACAAATTCAAATAAAATTTTACCTTGATCTGTTTTTGTAGCTGGTTTCCAGTTTTCTGCACTTATAATTGGTAAACACACTTGGCCCTTTTCATCCACATTTGGATGATATATTTTTGTTTTAAAGTTTATTTTTGGAGGTTTAAAAGGATATTCTGCAGGAAAGTTTATTTCAATACGAAATGCTCCTTTATTATATGGAGGATTATCCTAAAACATTAAAAGAAGTAAAAGTGATAAACATTTCTGAAAGAGGAATAATAAAAAAAACATACTTTAAATGTAATTAAGACTTGTATGTCATTATGTTACCAGTTAAATTTTGAAAACGACATATACAATCATTCCAATCTTTCCAAAATCAAATTGTAGTACAGCATTGCGTATATCTAACTATAGTTGTCTTTACAAATAGGATTAGGTTAGGTTAGATTAGATTAAATTATATCTCTAAAATAGAAAGGAACATCAAAACATACCGGCAATATAAGACCTTGCCAAGTAAGAATATTCGATTCATCAACTTGAATATTTGTAAAATTTTTCATTGCTGAAGCTCTTAAATCACCAAGTTCCTGCAAAAATAAAATCGCTATCAATATTATTATTAAGAAAAATAATAATATATATTTTAAATAAATAATAAAATACTTGATTTCTTATCATAAAAAATTTTGAATATAATAAGAATAACTATTAACAAATAATAGTAAAAGTACTACTGTTCTATATCATCATGAAAAATCATAATATTTAAAATAATATGAAAATTAATTCATATATGATGATCAAGGAATTTTAAATACGAATTTTTTATAATATTTTTTCATATAATAAATTCAATATATAATCATTCTTATTGACAGAAATTTTGATTTACCTTTTGCAATCTTCTCGTAGCTGCCATTTTGAAAATAAATTTCACTAAATGTAGTAAAACTTGTCAAGTTTCTTGACGATGGTTCACAGCTATTGTCTTTGAAAATACCCTAGTATTTTTTTTACTGAAATTTTTTCAGAACAAAACACTATAAATTCTTTTTTGTTAAATTTTGTTTTACTATACTGTTTTCTCATTAATGCAAATGCAGATATTTATTGTTGATCACGAATATGAATTGCTGTTCTTCCATTCGTTTAGCCGTATTGTACGCGTGCGTATGATTTATACATAGTACCTATATACATACCTATATACAACTAAGTTAAGAATTAAAGATTAAAAATTATTTTAATGTTAATATATAAGTAAACTCTTGACAAAACTTTACTTCGGAATTCGAAAAATTAACTTTTTTAAAACTTTTTTCATAAAAATAAATTTTTTTATATCTTCTTTTATAATATCTTTTAATAATTAGAATTAAAAAATGTTAATTTTAAATTTAAAAATTCAATGATTCAAAAATTATTCATATGTAAAGTTAATGCTTTTTAAGCATTTGATATATTACTAGGACGCCATATTGGTTTCCAAAGTTCGTGGATAATAATAATAAGTGGAATAATTATCTATATGTTGGCTGTGATAGGCATTAGATTATATATTTTCAAAATTACTGAGTTGGATTAATTATTTTTCCAGCTGCCTTAGATAGCCGGCGATATTAGTAATAATTATTATTTTGATTTAAAAATTTTTTAAAATTATTTTTAAAAAATAAAGTTTTAAAATTGAATATAATTATACGTATTGTAGAGCAATCAGAAAAACAAAATATATGAAATGCATTTGTATAAGCCAAATTTGATTTATCGCGCTTAAGTAATTATTATCTATACAAACAGTAACTTTTTTCACTGGACGAATTTGGATACCAATCAATATGATGTTCTAGTAATCTGTCAAATATACTTAACATTATTAATTTTACGTATGATTAAGTTTTAAATCAGTGGATTTATAAACTTAAAATTAATTTTTTTTAATATTATTCGTCAAAAACTTTTAAAAGGTACAAAAAAAAGTTAACAATTTTTAATGCTCCAAAATAAAGTTTAATCAAACTCTTGATAAGATTTTAATATTTTAAATATTTTAAATTCTTTAAGAATAATTATAATTCTAAAGAATAATTTTTAAATATTTGTAATTATTAATGAGAGAAATATTTATTCTAACATAAATCATAATTCATGAGAGTTATCATAAGAATTCTTATCTTATCTTATAAACATTTTTAAGTTATTTTAAATATCAATTTTTTTATAATATAATATTGTTTATTATTATTGAATATTTTAATAAATAATTACAAATTTAAGAATTTATATTTAATTTATATTTTAAAACATATTTTTTTATAGAAAAATATTAACAAAAAACTATCATGTCAAAGGAAAATATTAATTTACCAAAAGCTCCAAAAGATTTATGTTTTTCTGAAATTGATTTTATTCAGGTAAATTAACATTAAGATTATTTTAAATTGTAATATTTTATCATAACATTATCTTAAATCAACATTATCTTAAATCTTAAATTTATATTTTATAGCAAAATTTTAATGTGGATGCTTTTCTTCAAGAACATAGAAAAAATACAAAATTAGAAACAATGCGAGATGATCTTGGAATATATTTAAAATTATTGAGATCTGCTATGATTGATTTAATCAATAAAGATTATATAGATTTTGTAAATTTATCAAGTAATATGATTGGTTTAGATAAAGCTATTAATGATTTACAAACACCTTTAGGTCAACTAAGAGAAGAAGTAATGGTAAATTAAAAAAAAAAATATCTAATTTCTAATTTTTGTACAATATTATTAATAATAATTTTTTATAGCAAGTACAGCAGATTTTAGATGATGAAGTTGTGACAATTACTCATAACATAAATGAAAATAAGAAAGTTCGAGATTATAAGCAAAGTATATTCAGTTTACAATATATCTATAAATCTTTAAATAAACTTACATCTATTTTATGTTTAAATACATTCCTTGAAAATCCTGTTAAAATAGACATCTTGGAACAAGCTGCAGCAGAATTTAATCAGTTGCAATTTCATATGTCTAGATGCAAATTAAATATTACTAACGAAAAACAGAAAGTACGTACATTTTTAAAAAATTTAAATAATATATTTAATCAATATAATGAAAATAAATTTTTTATTTTTTGATTATGATTTTTATTATGATATATAATGAATAAAATTTTATATTATAGGAAAATGAAAAACTAGAACAATCTTATATGACACATCTCAATGAATTTTTTTTAGCATGTATACAAGAACAAAATTCTGTCTTATTAATTCGTTGTTTAGGAATTTATGTCACACTTGATAAAATATGTGATGCAGAGAATTTAGTGAGAAAAGAGATTATTAGTCCATTGATATATAGCATAATTAATATAGAAAATTTGCAAACTGATTTATTAGGTCTACAAAATATATATAGTAAGTTGTTGACCATCTTAAATGTAGAGCTTAAACAATTATTAGATATCACATTACATCCAAATAGGTATGTAATTTATAAAAGTCAAATTATGTATTTTATAGTATAGAAATATTTTTAGATTTTGTTTTGCAGACTTTCTGTAAAAGGTTTCAATTTTTTAGTAAATAGTTTTTGGATTGATGTAGAAGAAAAAATCGAACATTATATAAAATGCATCTTTGCTCCTGGAGATCCAATATTATTCCATTCAGTAAGTGAATAGAAAAAAAATTTTATTAATATGTATCATATACAGTATTTTATACATATATATAATTTCAGAGATATGTAGCCACTTTGGAATTTTTAGAAAAGTTAGACACTGAATGCGTTACATCTGAATGTTTAATTGCATTAAAAAATAATTCACAATACAAAAATTTTTTAAAAAAATGGAATTTACCAGTATATTTTCAAATTAGATTTCAAGAAATAGCTAATGGAATTGAGACAATTTTAATTGAACCAATATCACCAACATCTATAAAAGGAACATTGGAATCTCTTGCATTGCAAAATGAATTTTCTCTTTATACAACTTATATTATATGGGAAAATCTACAAAAAATTTGGGATAATAATATATATCTGTATCAACTCTTCCATAAGTAAGTGAAATAAAATATTTATTTATAATAATAATAATTTGCAATGTTTTGTCTCTAGATTTTGGAAATTCAGTCTTCAAATATGTGCTAGATATCAAACATGGATTCAAACAGTGCTTAAAGAGGTATGCTTAATTTTTTAAGTGATAAAATATATATAAATGATATATGATATATGATGTCCTAAAAATTTTTTCATTTTCTTACAATAAAGTTATTCTATTGCGAAATTAATAATATCTTAATATTAATGAAAAATAGGCTATATGTTTCGAGATATTGTCTATCAAAGCTTATTGTGTAAATAACAAAAAAATTATGATCTACAATTTTAATTTTCTTTTTATGCAAAGGTATGGCCAATAGAAAATGAAATTAACAATTCAAACAAAATAGAACATTCTACAAAACTTAATTTTTTAATCTGTTTATATAAGGATGCAGAAAAATTTATAAATATACTTCCATCTCTTTTGGAAATATCTCGAATAAAACTTAAAGAAGAAACTCCAACAGTATTGAAATTGTTAAAAGGTTACAGCATAACATGTTAATGTTATTATTATTAAAAAATTTTTTATCGTTATATATGTATTCTTTCATAGATTCTCTTGATGAAACAATAAAAAATTTAAAAAAGATTTGGCCAGATATTACAAAAGAAATTGTAAATGAATTATTGAAACAATGTGTAGTACATTTGAAACAAGTTAGTGATATACCAAGATTATTTAGACGGACAAAAAGGGACATACCAACTAAATCATGTGCCTATATTAAAAATACTCTTGCATTTCTTATCAATTTTCATACAGATTATAAAAAAATAATACCAGATGATGTTAATTATTGGTTACAATTAACTCTTTCCTCATTAACTGAACAGTAAGAAAAAAAAATTTAAACATTATTAAATATTAATATTATTGTTTTGAAGTTTATCATTGTTAAACATTAATTTAAAAATATTTATAGTTATCTAATTTCTGTAAAAGATGTGCTTACTTCAGTACAAAAAACTGAGGAAAGTTTAAGAAGATTGAAAAAAATACGCGATAAATCTATAGGTTCTTTTTCATCTGAAGTTCAAGGAATCAGTGATGATGAAAAAATACGAATTCAATTACAAATTGATGTACAAACTTATGTTAACATGGTAAAATTTATCATCATAATTCATTTATTAATTAAAATTTATTAAATTATACATTTAAATCATATTTTAGATTACAGAGATGCAGATTTCAACTTCAAATATACTTTATATGAAAGAGTTATTATACGCTGTTGAAACAGCAATAAAAAGATAAATGTTATTTTCTTCTATTTATTTTATTTTTATATAAATTAATTTTGTTATTTGCAATGAAAATTTATTTATTTATATTTTTCTCTATTATTTATATATTATTCATTATATAATATTTTCTCTTTTAATAAGAAAATTATAATAATAACTTTTCTTTTAATTTTTTAATGTGTTAAATTTTGAAGAACAAATTATCCAAATTATTTGCTTAATAGACATGTATTATTTACATAAACATATTTATATTACAGAAATTGTATTTATGATCTAATTATTTGATTATAAAATATTAAATTCTTTTTATAACAAACTCTGATCCCAAGAATCACTTTGTGGCAATTCAATGGAAATTATTGAATCTTGATGAGGATAAGTTGGATGCCACCAATCTAAAATTTGATAATTAACAACTTCATTCAAAATAACTTGGTTTGTTAATGTATTAGGAATATCTGATGTTCCAAATCCAAGTTGTAATCGATGATCTTTAAAACCAGGCATTAAAGTCATTGATACTGACTGTAAAATCAAACCAATTACAGGTGGTAACATACTATATTTTAAACAAGTTACCTATAAATTTTACAATATTGTATAAATATAATTTTATCATAATGATATAATATCTATTATAAATAATTAATAATTATTTATAATAAAATAAGTACCCGAAGTATTTTACAACCTTCTTCTATATTCACAGCTACATCTTCCAACATTTCAATAAAATCTGTTTTTTTACCGTTCGTATTTTTTTTTTGTTTTAATAAATTATTTGTAGTTTTGGGCAATTCTTTTAATTTGAAATAGAAGTACCAACGCATTTTTCCTTCCTAAAACAAAGTATTGATAATTACTTTATAACCAATTAATTTTATTAAGCATTTTTTAAATGCATTTTCGAAAAAACAAAAATTAAAAATATACAATATGAAAGAGAAATATATAATTATAATTCTTTTAAAATAAATCTTATAATTATAATTCTTTTGACATGATTGATGATGAACTCAATGATATGAATTCGATCACTCTTTGATGTTTGAATAAATTTTGATCTTCAATATTTCAATTAGTAATTTAGTAATTTCAATAATTATAATCATTATCTTAAAGTTTATAATTTTAAATATCAATAATATAATTTCTACAATCAGCTATAACTTTCTAATAAATTTAACTCTTTGCTCTCCAATGGTGACTCGATCACCACTTGAGTTAATGCCGGTCCAGCGGTGACTTTCCGATTGTTGCAACTTGAATAGCGGCAATATTTATTTATGTTTGATTTTTTTAGAGTATCGCTTCATAAATAGATTCCTAAGTTCTTTACATATAATCTTATGAGGTGTAATCTTATTCTATGAGTAATTATCTTATGAGACTACCGAACGCACCGAACGCGCGGATCTAAGTCTTGCTAGTTCGACAGAGCGAAATAGGCCTGGAGTGCAAAAGGTTAATACAATTTTAATAATTATTTTTGATTTTTAAATAACTTTGAATATCAATAATAATTTCAATGAATTTCTGTAAAATTAAAATAATTTTAATCATTATCCTATGATTTTTCTGCTATTTTAACTTCTAATTATATAATCATTCTCTTAATGAAATTATTTTGACCATATTATAATATATCAAATATCATTATATTATTTTAATGATTCTTACAATTCAAATGATAGAGAATGTTATCAATTAGATATTAACAACACAATATCAATATTTCAAATCACAATATCATGATTTTAGTTTTTAAATTTCTTAAATCTTTGCAAGATTTCAAAGTTTTCAAATGACTTTAATATGATTTAAATGATGATTTCATATTATAGTTCTTGAATTAATTTGATTTTTACAAAAATTTTCAAAATGATCCAATTATTAAAAAATATTATTATTAGTATAATATTATATATTACTACATACTTTATGCCACATAAGACAGCACTGTCTTTTTATAAGTGAATGTGGTTCATCTTGTCTTAAATAGGATACATCATCAACTTTTCTTTTCAAAGCAAAATAAGTATAATGTAATGTTCTGATGACACAAGCTCGAAGTCCATGAGTACGAACCATACATTGTGGTTGTAGACGTTCTGGTAAACCAGGAACAAATTTATAGTAACTGCAATTATATTTTACTTGATATTATTATATTTAATATTTAATTAGAAATTATTATATTTTTACATAAAGAAAAACTTACGATTTATACAAATGAAACCAAAATTTTCCAGTTGAAACTACATAATAAGAACTTCTACATATTTGAGCAAATTTTCCTATAGCCTCAGGACTAATATATTCAGATATAATAAACCATATATCTAATGGATAATCTATACCTAAATAAAATAAAAATATGAATTTTTGAATTCAAAAATATGAATTTTATTATTTGCTATTTCTTTGTATTTTACCTTGTTGTTCTTCTATACCTTTTTTAAAGTAATTTGACTTTTTATTTCTTTGATTTGTTAAAACTTCTAAAAAATGAGATTAATTTAAGCTTATTTGAAACTTAATAACAAAATACTTATAATTATAATTATACTTATAATTTAATATTTCTAAATATATTTACCTTTAGTACTTTTCTTTGACTTATTTGAATCATACAAATTATTTTGGTAATTTTCATTCATTTCATTTAAAAAACTTTCTTCATCTATTGTTATTTTTTGTCTCACTGTAAAAAATACTTTATTATAATTATTTATTAAACAGTATAAAAAAATGAATAAAAATGTTTTATTATATAAAAACATTAGAATATAAGATTCATTAAAATGAATTGATGAAAATAACCTTCAGAGGAGACATTTATTATTGCCTTTTTAAATCTTGTGTGTATCCGTGATGAATTTGCAAAATCATTGATAGTTATATCTGTTATAAAAAAAATAAAATATTATTTCGTCAATAATATATTTTTTTTACACACATTTGATGTGATGTTTAGGTATTATTTTAAAATAATTAAAAAGGAATGTATATGATTAACCTCCAATTAAATTGTCATTGCCATTTTCCACATTTACTTTTTTGCTAGATTTTTTCCTTAGAATAGGCATGATGTTAAACGTTATGTTACTATCTACAAATTAATCAGGTACCAGTTGTAACAAAATAAAACTTAAAATTAATAACTATTTACATTAATAATAGAGAATATTGTAAACACCCATCATACTTCTTACAATTAGTAAAGTCGATAAAAAAGATGTACTCTATTCATTTTCATGCCATCGTATCAACATCGTGTTGTTTTGACTGATATTTTTATATTATAGTTAATACGTTAATTTCTTAATTACATTCAAATTATTAACAATAAAAAATGAAAAACAATAATTTAATTTATAAATTTGTATATATTTAATTACTTAAAAACACATGAATTGTTTTTTTAACAAGTTAACATAAACACAATATTAAATAATTTAAAGTTCATTAACATAATTTTATTTTTTTAATATTGTTTTAATTTTAAAATACTATATAAAATGAATCTTTATACTAAAGAAGAAAAACGTATTTTTAATTTTTTATATCAGCAAAATTGTTGTTTAAGATGTTGTTTTCGTTTTATTGGATGGCGTACATTAAATTGTTTTGAAGATCCTATTAAATTTGCAAAACATGTAAGTATTTCTAAATATTTATAATTAAAAAGTTTTTTAAATTTTTATATAATATATAAAATTTTTCTACAGGTTAGATATATAGAAACGGAAGATATTTCTTTTAATGATGAAATACTTTGCATGGCCTGTCTGGGAATTCTCCAAAATAAGATACAAGAACAAGTTATTAAAAAAGTATGTTGAAATATTTAATTTGAAATATTGATGTTGATGTTTTACATAAATTTCAATAATTTTTCAATAATAAACAGATTCAAATTGAAATAGAAAAACAAAATTATGACAGTGGAACATTCACATGTGCATTAACAATACCAATATGCATCAGTCTTAGAGAACGCTTCTTACATATTCAATGTGCTACTCAACTTAATCTTTCAGAAAATACTTTGTTAGATCTTAAAGTTAAACTGCAAAATGTAAAAGATGTTTGGAAATGGATAATGACTCCTAAAATAGAACAGGCTATTAAAAAACAAGTGGATTTGATAACACCTTCTCCATTTCTGATTGAAGTTATTTTAACATATAAATCTAATGAGAAAGAATGTGAAACATTGTAAGTTCAAAAATTTTTTTATTTCTATTGATAGAAATTTATTTCAATTTCAATAAAATTTTTTTACTTTAGATTAAAAATATACAATGAATCAAATAACATGGGAAATAAATACAAAAGAAAATATGATGATAATAGATTCAGCAAAAAAAATATAGAAACTATTATGACAAAAATAACAGACAAAGAATTTTCTCAGCATTTTAAAGCATTATCATTTGAAACAAATAATAGTATTTTTATAGAAAATATTATGTGTTCACATTCAAGTATTTTTATTGGAGGTAATATTTACTGCTTATTATAATGTATATAATTATATATAGCTATAATTATAATATATATAAATTATTAAATATACCATATATTCATATTATAACTTCAGGACGATATAATAAGTTATCAAGAGAACTGAGTCAAACACCATGGTTTATAAATGGTGAAAAAAAAATGCAGACATCTGTTCAAGATATACTTTGTAATCCTATTGCTGATGTAATGAAAGCTCAATGTAAATCATATATTTAATAATTTTGATATCATAATTAATTATATACTAATAATTTCACTTATAATTTAATTTTTAGCTATTAAATTTTTATCATCTGGCAGAGAAGATGTGGATGTAAGAAATATATATTCAGGAAGACCATTTGCAGTTGAATTAATTAATCCTCGATTGACAAAAATAACAGAAAAATTATTGTCAGATTTAATTAATAAAATTAATCTATCTTCACAGCAAGTACAAATTGTCTCAAATTTAAAAGTTTTATCCAGATTTGATCTGAAAAAATTGAAAGAAGGAGAAAATGTTAAAACAAAATTTTATCGAGCACTTTGTATTTGTCGTAATGCATCTAAAAATGTGCTTTCTCTTGAAAAATTAAATAATTTGAAACATTTAAAAATAATTCAAAAAACACCAATGAGAGTATTACATCGACGACCCTTAAGCCCTAGAGAACGTTTAATATATGAAATGAGAGCTCGTTGGGTAAAACATCAAGAATTAAAAAATTTGAACATAAGTTCCGAGGATGCTAATATTTTTTTTATATTAGATATTAAAACACAAGCTGGAACATATGTAAAAGAATTTGTACACGGAGATTTTGGACGAACAAAACCAAGTTTGTGTGATATTCTTAATGTTGAAATTGATATAGTCGCATTGGATGTAACAGGAATTAATTTGAATTGGCCATAAGAATTATTTTAATTTTTAATATTTGAAATATTGCTATTACATATGCATAAATATAAAAAATGGTTTTAATAATATGATTTTATAATAAAAAATATATACCTCTCATAATTTTTAAGATTTTTATATTAATATGCATCTTTGTATTTTAATATCCAGAAATGTTTTTTTACAGCAGCCATAGAAATTCTTTCTGAACTTTTTCGTTTAATTAACTGTAATATAAAAATAATTATTAACTTTTGAATAAAAAATAATAAAAATAAATAGAAATTACTTTTGATATCAAATCTTTAGCTCCTGGTGTAATTTGTTCTGGCCATTGTATATTTAATGTCTTTATTTTTGCATAAGTTTCTTGTTGTGAATCACTAAGAAAAGGTGGTCTACCAACAAGAAATTCATAACAAAGAATACCTAAACACCAATGATCAACATATATATCATATGTTTGTCCTGATACCATTTCTGGAGGTAAATAATCTAATGTTCCACATAATGTATTTCTTCTGCAATTATTTTTATTGTTAGAACTTTCTCTGATTCTGTTTTTGTATTATGTTTTGACAATGTACTATAATTATACAAAGGTACTTACTTAGATGATGGTGCATGAACAGACCAGCCAAAATCTGCTAATTTTATATTACCTTCATAAGTAAGTAATAAATTCTCTGGTTTTATATCTCTGTGAATCACATTATTTTTATGACAGTATTCTAAAGCATCTGCCACTTGATAAGTATATTTAGCAGATCTAAAAAATAACTTGTTGATTAAAAATAAATATATAAATTTTATTAAATTATGAATTATCTCCAAAATATATACAAATGTTCATTAAATCTTTCGTTGGGTTGTCGTTTTAATTCCTTATATAATTCTCCTCTAGCTGCAAATTCTAATACAAGATAAATACGTTTATGGTCATGAAAATATGTTAACATTTGAAGAATATGAGGATGCCTGAAAAATTTTATATAATATAAAATATATATTTATTATTAAAAAATATTTTGTAAATAAAGAAATTATAAAATTATAAAATATTTACCTCAAATGCGTTTGAATTTCAATTTCACGCATCACTTGTTTCTCTACACGTCCTTTCATTAACTCTACTTTATATAAAGTCTTCAATGCAACCATATAATGTGTAGTTTTTTCTCTAGCCAAATAAACACGTCCAAATTTACCTCTACCTAAAGGTGCACCAATTTCAAAATCATCTAAATTCCATTGATATCTATAAAATAATATTTTATTTTTATAACAACATTAAAATTGCGAAATATTTATTTATTAAATATATACTATATCATATATAATACTAACAATTGAAGAAAAATTTTTTCCTTTTTACCTTAATCCTCTAGCTTCAACATGTTCTTCCATTTTATACAAAGTATCAAGTACAATATCCTTATAATCAGATGGAACATTAGATGGAAGTTTAAATGCTTCCATATGGGTCATTATAAATTATATGTTTTTCAGAAATATCAGAAGATTTTTTAAAAACACTATTATTATTTATTATAAATTTATCTATTGTTGTTATTATATATTTATATGTTTCAAAATATTCTTAAAAATAATAATTATATAATATTTAATATTTGAGTTAAATTTTTTATTAAAATAACACTCCGCAATCAATCATTTATTCAAGTATTCATAACAAATTCTTCATTATCATATATTTAACTGACATTTTTGATTTAAATCTTTAAATATAACTGATAGATCAAAGTGACATCTACAGAATGAAAATTAGAAAAAAGTTCGATTTTAGCCATACAATATTTTGTAATTTAATTTCAATGAAAAATTCTAATATTAAAAACTTATTTCAAAGATATATTGTAAATAAATAATCTAATTTAAAGTAAAAAATAATTTTAATATAATTTAGAATTAATAATAATATAATGTTTATTTTATGTAGTTGTGTATTTCGTTAAAGTTTCCTTTCTATATTTCATATTTTCTAGTGCCTATCAAAGTATATACTTACTTATTTGCTGATCAGTTTTGACATTTTATAATAAATTTTTAACAAAAACGACATAAGAATACACATACATATACATAATGGTAAGAAAATAATTAAATTTTAAACATATTAAAATTCATATAAAAAATTAAGTAATATTTGATAGTATAAGTAATTAATTTCATATTTGTTTAAAAAAGATTATGTATCATAATTGCATTTTAAATTGTTTTAAAATATTTTATAAATTTATAGTATAAATAAATGATATAAATAATTTTTTTAACAGAATATATATATATATATGTGCATTTTTTTTTAGGGTAATGAAAGCTCGTTGCCTATGGAACTATGTTCCAATTGTGAGTCAATATTAAACTATTCTTGGTATCTTAAATCAATTTATTTTGTTTTAAATTTAAAAATAAAAATTATATTTACATATATTCTTATAAAATAATTTTAAATTATATTTGATCAAAATATGGAATTAAATTAATAATTTTTTATTTATTAATTTACTTGTTACTTTTGATCTATTTTTATCAACTATTTTACCAACTAAACATAGTACCTATAAAGTATTAACCATCATATTAATTATATATATACAATTATGTTAACAATTATATTAATTAATATTATTCTTATATTTTTATTTTTTAATAATTAAATTAATAAATAAATTAAAATAAAAATATTAATCTTTTAGTTGATGTTGATGAAATTAGAAGATTAGGAAAACGATTTCGGAAGTTAGATTTAGATAATAGTGGTGCTTTAAGCATTGATGAGTTTATGTCATTGCCAGAATTACAACAAAATCCTTTAGTACAACGTGTTATAGATATATTTGATGCTGATGGTAATGGAGAAGTAGATTTTAAAGAATTTATTCATGGTGTTTCTCAATTTAGTGTTAAGGTATATATAAATTTTATTACAATATCATCAAAGTATAAATAATACATTTAAAAATAATTTCTTTTTTTATTATATAGGGAGATAAAGAAAGTAAATTAAGATTTGCATTTAGAATTTATGATATGGATAATGATGGTTTTATAAGCAATGGAGAATTATTTCAAGTATTAAAAATGATGGTTGGTAATAACTTGAAAGATACACAGTTACAACAAATTGTTGATAAAACAATATTATTTGCTGATAAAGACGAAGATGGCAAAATTAGTTTCGAAGAATTTTGTTCTGTAAGTAATAAATTCTAGAATCACAAAGAAAAAATAACTATATAAAAATATTTTTTTTTTTATAATTTTAGGTTGTTGGTAATACAGATATTCATAAGAAAATGGTGGTTGATGTTTAAATTATCAAGTTTATGAGAAAAAAGATATTAGAAAAAAAATTATAATAATATCAATTTGACTTTTTCATTATTAACACTAGATTTATTGGATAGTTATAAATAGAGTGAAATTATGATCATATTAAGTCTTTAATCAAGCCAATTTTTTATATAAGTTTATCATGTTTAAATATTTTTGTTATAATTATTATAATTATAAATTTATCATTTTCAAAAATATTGTGCATATTTATTAAATGTAAGATGTCTCAGTTGAAAAAAGACATTTAAATATTTCTTTGTTTTTAATGACATCTAAAAATATTTTTGATAATTTAAATAATTTTAATAGAAATAGTTTGAATATGAATAGTTTGAATATATATATTATGGAGAAAGAAATTTTTTCGGAATAGCATTTTTTTGATATTTACTTAAGGTTATTGATTTTTTTTTTTTTTATTAAGAAATGTAATAGTAAAATATTTTTTTTGTATTGTATGTAATGAATGAAAAGTATATTTGATGATGTCTAAATAAATCATAATCTTTAATTGATTAAAATATATTAAACAATTATAAAATAAATAGAATAATAAACTTATTATTTATGTTAATTATTGTTATGTTTATGTTGTAAATGTTTAAGATATTTATTAACAATAAACTTTATATAGTTGAATATAGAGTATAGTTTCTATACTTATCAATATACATAAATAAAATTTGTTTTCTAGCTGTTTATAGTTGAATTTTATACTTATCAATATACATAAATAAAATTTGTTTTCTAGTTATTTATAGTTGAATTTTATACTTATCAATATACATAAATAAAATTTGTTTTCTAGCTGTTTTCCCAGCTACTAAAACATTGTTGCTTTAAAATCATTTAAATTATAGAAATATTTTATATGTCATTAAAAACAAAAAAGACATTTAACTAATCTCAACATTTAAATAGTTTTTTCAGCTGACATATCTTGTAAATTACGCAAATTTTAATATAATTGGTGTTTTATATATATTCACAAAGTTTAGTTTTTAATCAAAAAAATATTTATAGTTATAGAATAATTTTATTATTTTATAATATATAATCATTATTAATATATGATTAATTAACATTATAAATATATGTTATCTAATTCATTTACAAAAAGTTATTTCAAGTTTAATTTTATGAAAATATAATTATAATTATATAAATTACTTAAAAAATGTCTTTTTATATTTTATATTGAAATGTAATTAAAATACATTTTTTAAATATTATTCCACGATATATTTTAATAATTTGCAATATATTACTAAAAATTTTGAATTTTTATCAATTTTAAAATTTTTTTAATTTTTCAATTAAATGCTATTATAGCTGAATAAATAGGAATATTTTATTTAATCCATAATACAAGATTTTTAAGTTAAATTAAATTAATCTATTAAATTGGATAACTGTTAATTTCTAAGATCTCTATTCAATTTTAAAATGATTTTTATATTTTATATATATAATATATATATATTGTATTAAATATATATAATATATTATTAATTAATTGAGCATCTGAAAGAAATAAATCATTTAATTAATTATAACTAATTAACATTTGAGAAGCTCTCTCTTGAGTTAATAAAATTAATTTTCTAATAGAAATCTTATGATTATTCAATTTTGAATTTAAAAATCATAAACAGGATTTTAAGAACTTTCAGATGCACAATTATTTTTATATAAATGTGTTATATAAAAAAATTAAATTATATCCATTATTTTATTATAATTATTATATTATAAGTCTTATAAATTTACATATTATCTTAATGTTTGATCAAAAATTGAAATAAATCTATGTAATATATATAATATTTAATCATTTGAATCCTATATATATTTTTTTAATATATTTTTGTTTCTTCATTTAAAAAATTATATATAAAATATATTTAATCTTATATTAAATATAATAATCTTATATTATAATGATATTATATTAATATAATATTATATAATTATAATAATTTTATGTTAAATATAAAAATTTATAAAAAGTATTCTAAATTATAAATTTTTAATTGATCAAAAATTAATGTTCAAATTCCAAAAATAAATTTTGAAAAATATCAGAAAAATATAGATTTTTAAAAAGTTTAAAACTATATAATACTGCATAACCAGACTTTTAATGTCAACATTCATTATTGAGTTCTATTCATTATTGAAAATATATGTAAACATGTTAATAAACTATAAATAATAAATAAATATTAATTATATTTTTATCATTACTTAAACAAAAATTATAAATTTCATTTTCTTATGTTATTTATAAATATATTTGGTATAATATTAATTTTATAAATAATATAATATTATATTATGTTTTTACTTTTACTTTTACAATATAATATAAAATTTTAATGTTATTAGATATTTTTAGATATACAAAAGTATTTATAATGAACAGATATATAGTATTATTTTGATTTTTTTATTGATGTAAATTTTATAAATATATTCTATATGAAAATATACCTGAATATTATATGTATTATAAAAGAAATTAAAATAGATTCTAAAGATTCGATTTCAAATGTTTAAAAATCGTAATTCATCTTGTTCATTGAAAAAAATAATATAATAAATGAAAGCACATGAGAGCTAACCAAATGCTGTCAACGTTGACATATTTTTAAGATATTGGTAGCCCTGTTTCGTCCCCTGCCTTTCATTGTTGCTATTTAATACCCGGTGTGTTTGCGTTTTTCATTATTTCTTGCAAAAAGTTTTGCTGTAAGTCTTTTACAATCTAACGAAAAGTATTGACAATAATTATTTAGCAAACAAAAGAAGGCGGAGGGGGTAGCAGGAGGTGAAGATGGATAATTTGGAGGAGGTATTGCAAGCTCTTGACGAATTTCAGAAAGTGCGTCCAAGTGAAATACCTCGAGAGCTCGAAGATTATTTATGTTGGGTTGCAAAAACTGGTGATCCTGTTTATCAGTGGTCATTAATTAAAACATTGTTCAGAGAAAAACTTACTCGCGTGATGACCGAATTTTATGAAAGTTGTCCGACGCTTGATCTTGCACCGTGTCCGAACGTTGAGCATTTCAATTATGATATGATGAAAAGCAATCTCTTGGAGCGTTTGGAATCATTTGCAAACGCTCCGTTCACTGTTCAACGAATTTGTGAATTATTAACAGCACCACGCAAGGAATACAATAGAGTTGATAAATTTATGAGAGCTATTGAAAAAAATATCTTAGTTGTTTCTACTAGAGAACCTGGACCAATAACCAGGAGAAATGAAAATGGAGATGGTATGGTAAATGGATCAGTAGATGAAGATCCATCTGTAACACAGCCTCCTCAGGATGTAGAAATGGAATATTGGGAAAAGGACTGTTCTTCCACAGTTACAATTAGCGTGCATACTGTTGAAAATGAAACGCCTTTGTTACATACTGTTGTACCAACTAATACTGTAGTAAAAAATGTATTTGATACGGAAGAACTTTCACATGAGAAAGTAGAATCAACATCTAAGTCAGATATTGTAGTATCTAATTTTATACAAACTACTTCAGAGTTTTCCGGAGTTTCCAATTTGAATTCTCAAGCACAAACACAGGATTCACAAATTGGTTCTGCAATACAAAATCTGTCAACTATAGTTCCTGAAAATTCTGGAATTATTAGTGATGTTTCAGAAGCAATTATGAATGAAGATACTAGTTCTCAACCTAGTTTAGAATTGATAAATGAAGGAGGAGATACTATAGATTCCTCAAGAAAATTACAAACTACTTTCCAAACAAAAGATTTTAGCACAAATGAAAATAAATCGACAAAATTTTATATAGATAATTCTAAGATAAATGAAAAGACAGAAGTTGAATTAATGTCAATACATGTACAAGAAGGATCAAATAAAAGTAAAGATATATTAGTTAAATCAGATATTGAACTCAAAACTGTATTGGATAATAAAGAATCAATTAGTCCAATTGTTGAAAATCTAAATACTAATAAAAATTTGGAAAATACAATAAAATTAGATACTGAAGTAGAAAACATTCAATCAATTATTGATACATCTATTTCAAATAAAAAATCTCTAGATATGGAAAATACATCAGCAACAAACAATTCAGAACAACTGACAAATAATTTAATATTATCTACTGATAATGTAAGTACAGAGGAGACTATAAATACTTCAAAGAATTTATCTATTGATATAGAAAATTTGAAAGATCAAACTAAAGAAGTAGAATTAATAAAGAACTCAAAATCTATAATAGAAGAACCATGTTCCAAAACTAATGTAACAAAACATTTCAATCAGAATCAAAAGAAAAATGATTTAATTATCACAGAAATTGGAGAAGATGAGGGCAGTATCATAAAAACTATAGTACCTGATCCAATTCCTATTGTTGAGGAACCAAAAAATATAGAGTCTATTAAAATTAAAGAAAACATTTCACCAATTATTGAAATAACAGAAAAATCAGAAAATCTGCAAAATTCTCCAATAATATGTCAATCAGAAAACAAAGAAAAAATGTCTATTAAAGATAATAATGTAGCACAATTACAAGGTAATAATATAACTTCTACCATAAATAAAATACATGATAGTGACATAGTAATTGAAAATATAATGAATAAAAAAGAACAGAAAGAGGTGGAATTAATGGATGTAGATGAAGAAGAAACATTATCCGTGTTTCAACAAGATGATGAAGTCATGGAACAAGAAACAGTACAATCATCTAGAAGTTAATGATATGTAAGAAGAAGATTTTATTCATATTTTTTAATATTTGATTTTGATTTTAATAGAAAACATAAAAAAGAAAAATAGAAAAAATGGAATTTGTTTAAATGATAAAAATTTGTATTGTATTTCAAATATGATTTGTATGATTTTCTTTAAGTAATTTAATATATGAGATGCATAAAGAAATATTGTAAGATGATTTATTAGAAATTCTCTAATCATATATTATATTACTGTTTCATTAATTTTATAATTACTACTCATTTAATTTCATAATTATTATTAAATCAATTTGGTATTGTACAGAGACTTGTTCATATGAATTTCTAAGCTCCTATAGAAAGCAAAACACTGCCTATTTCCAAAACATTATAATATTAGTTATCAGTTTTGACTATGATTTGGATCTTAATTCAAATCAATTTGTAAAAAATTTCATAATAAATTTATGTGAATGAAGTTTCTACTTAGGATATGGCTGTGTTTGTAATTAAAGCATATGAAATTTTTATGGCTCCTAACATAATACAATATGTGATATAAAAAAAGAAGCATTTAAACATGAATTTTAGTGCTTTACAGAATATTTTATTGGCAAATAGGAGCATAGATCTGACCAATTATAAGCTAAATTAATTACTGATTGTATAAAGTCACAAGAAATAATTTTGAATTTTAATAATTGGAAATAATGAAAAATGAAAAATATGTCAATTTTAAAAAATCAGTACTATTTATTAATAATATTCAAATATATTCACAAAAATGACTGAAATTTACAAATATTTCAATTGTATTAAACATAAATGGATGGGATCAAAACATGAATTCCATTTAATTATTTAATTGATAAAAAAATGTATTGCTATGTAAAACATAGCAAAGATAAAAAATTAATTCTTTCCAATTAAAAAATGGTGATTACTCTTTATATTTTGCTCTATTTTCCAATATATAAATATAATAATTAAATACTTATCAAATAATATGAATATTACAACATTTTCTTTTCTTTTAAAATGGAAATTTTATTTCGCAAAACACATTTATTTAAATTAATTTAAATAAATAAAATTAAAAATTTATCTTAGTTTAATTACAATAATTTGCTTCTGATCACATATTTTCATCAAATATTTTTATGCAGATTTAAGTCTAAAGATAATTCTTCTTCTTAAAAATAATTATAGTAACATTTATTATAGTAATTTAAAGACAACATATAGAACAATGATATAAAACATTGATATAATTTAAGAAATAACAGTGTACAATATTTTATAGAAAATATATTAAAAATCATTACCAAAGTGGAATTATTTATAATACCTGCTTTATATTTTAGAATATAGTTTTGTAATTCTTATGATTATAAATTATAATTTGTAATAAATGTCTCATATATATTATTTTAATAAATAAACGTATATCAAATTGAATTTTTTAAATTTTAAGTTTATACAAATTTAATGATTTGAAATTTCGTAGTAAAAAATATATGATACAAAATAATTTCAGAATAAAACATTGTATTTCAAAAATTAAATCAATAAATTTAATCATTATTTATTACAAATATGACTTTCAATACCTTTATAAATTATTTTCATACAATTTGTTAGTTTTTTAGTTCACATGTTTTTAACAATATATACATATAATTTTCATAATATATCAATTTAATTATGCTTTTATTAATTTAAGTAAAAGTTTGATGTTGAATTAACTTATTAAAATAACTATCTTTTAAATTCATAAGTTCTTTATAGCTCCCAGTTTCTATCACTTGTCCTTGTTTCAAAACAATGACTTTATCTGCATTTTTTATTGTACTCAATCTATGAGCTATAGTGAGAACTGTCCTTCCTTGAACAGCTTTTTCTAAAGCTTTTTGTACGTAATGTTCGCTTTCCGCATCTAATGCACTTGTGGCTTCATCCAAAATTAAAATTTTGGGATTCTAAATATTAAAAATATACAATTCTTATATATATATTAATTCTTATTAGATAACTTTGATTCCAATAATAAATTTACCTTTATCAATGCTCTAGCAATAGCAACTCTCTGTCTCTGTCCTCCACTAAGGGTAATGCCTCGTTCTCCCACTACTGTATCTAAACCATTTGGCATATTTTCTGTAAATTCTAAAATGTGTGCACATTTTGCAATCTCTTCTACATTATATTTTACTGAGTTTATTGCTCCATACAATATGTTTTCTCTTATTGTTCCACTAAAAAGAATAGGTTCCTGAGAAACAATACTAATCTGTGATTTTACCCATGCTGGATTAAGAAACTTAAGATCATAATTATCTAAAAGTATAGATCCTAAATTAGGATCATAAAATCTTAATAAGAGTGAAGCTATTGTAGATTTTCCAGAACCTGATGCTCCAACAATAGCAACTACTGTACATGAAGGGATTTTTAAATTGAAATTTTTCAAAACCCATGTATTCTCTCTTGTAGGATAAGCAAAACTGACATTGCGAAATTCAATATCACCTGATAGCTGATTTTTCAGAATTTCACCACCATAAATTGGTATTGCTGATTCTTTTTCAATCAATTCAACTAAACGTATATTTGCACCCAATGCTTTATTTAATTCGCTATAAAATGAAGATAATCCATTCAAAGAAATTGCAACATATACAGCATACCCTAAGAATGCACTTAAGCTTCCAATTGTAAGAGAGGAATCAGAAATCATAGCTCCACCATAATATAACACCGATAAAATAATCATATTTCCAGAGAAACCAGTTAATCCAAAAAACATTCCTCTGCATAAACTTTCTTTATAACAAACTTTAAGCATATCATCTAGTTGAGAATTATAATAATTGGTTTCATTTATTTCTTTTGAAAAAGCTTTTACTGTTCTTATATTGCTAATTCTTTCTTCAGATATTATATTTAGTGATGCTAAATTGTTTTGTATGTCTCTGGAAATCTTCTTTAAAAAACGACCACATACTATAGCTAAACCAGCAACTGGTGGAACAATTGCTAGACTAACTATAGCCAATTTAGGAGAAGTATAAAACATCATAGATATTCCAGAAATACTCATGAAGGCAAAACGTAATCCATCTGATATATTGCTTGTCAGAGCATTGCTAACAAGTTGTGTATCTCCTAAAAATAATCAAATATAAAAAAATAATATTTATATAATAGAATTTTGAAATTTGAATTTATACCAGATAATCGACCAACAAATTCTCCTGTATTACATTTATCAAAAATTGCTATTTCTTGTCGAAGAATAGCAGCATATAATTGTTTCCTTAAAGATTGAGTAATTCTATGTCCAGTAGTAGACATTAAATATATTCTGCAAAAATTACATAAACCTCCAAAAGCAAATATTCCAAATAAAATGATACATAATTGATTAAGATTTTTCTTCATATCTTTTTTATCATTTGTATTAATGATATCAATTAATTTTCCTAAACAAAATGGTACTGCCATTGTTATAGTAGATGAAATTAATAAAAAAGTAATAGCACTGAATAACCTCCATTTCTCAGGTACTGCTAGCACAATTAGGTTTTTCAATTCTGAAGTTTCTTTTTTTTTTGTAATAAATCGTACAGTGGAATTTAAAGTTTTAGTTTCTAAAGTATTTGTTCCGTAATATCTTAAAGTGTTAAATATACAGGTTTTTCGATTAATTCTGGCTGATGATGTTAAATATATATAAAATAATTGTTTATGTATAATTGGCGATTTACAAAATTTTATTTTTTGTGAAATAATATTTCTGGTAAAGAACTTCCAAATAAGTGTCATTTTTTAATATATTCATATGTCTAGAAACTAAACAATTCACAAAATGGAAAGTCATTAAAACTTATATTTGATTATTAATAAAAAGGTTATGACACTTTTAGATTGAATATATCTATTGAATATATTAAATATATTAATGTTAAAATTTATATTTAAATTATTTTTCAATATATGTTTATAAAATTAGATTCAGTTTAATATTAATAATAATTTATCGATAATATATTTTAATTTCATAACTAGATTTTAACCAGCTGCATATTAAAAAAAAAACCATTTTAATCACGTGACTAGATAAACAATGAATGAACTTACTATGAATATAACTTACTATAAATATATAAGTGAGTATTTACACAAGATACTTACCTATTGTAATAAAAAATATACATGTATATTTGATTGATAAATAAATTTTCAGTATACTTATATTTATTTTATATTATTTGTATAGTACTATAAACTATATTATTAATATATTTATTGTATTAATACATATATTTATATTAATACATATATATCTACTTAATTCATACAAAAAATGTAAATGAATATAAATTATTATTTATTGAATAAAAATATAATTTTTAAATGACTGATTTTATAAAATTTAAAAATAATAATGTTAAACTTTAGCTATTTCATTAAAAATTCTTTCTCTTTTTTAGAAACATTAATAACAAATCTAAATTAAAATATTTACTTATAGAATTAATAGCTTTGTAATACTACAGTAATTTTGGGACATTTATTTTGATTATAAGATATATAAAAAAATAAAATTAAAATTGGTATAAGTTTGAATTTATCAATCTATTTATTTACATATTTAAAATATTTAATTTCTTTTATTTAAATATGTACTAAATAATTTAAAATTTTTTCTATTATATATTTTTTTTAATTATTTTTGATTACAATAGTATAAACTAGATATGAATTAGAAACAATAGGAAACATACAAATATTTAATCAAAAAGAGTGGGGGAGTATTCAAAGCGCACAATTTAGTTGAGCATCTCTTATTAACCAATGTAGAGGTTATAAACTTAAGATAGTTCTTTCGAACAACGCATCATAGTTGTTTTTCTATATTTACTATAAATTTACTAAATTAATGGCATTAAAATAATTCAATTATTTGTGTGTTTATGACACACAAATAAGAGAATAAGAGATCTCGATTTATTATTTATTCGACTCGTAATTGACGAGTATCAAAACATGAAAAATTTATATGACAGACGTACTATAATAATGTAATTGAAAACATTTAAATTTTAATCACACATCAAGGAATTAAAAGAAATAATGACAATCACAAAAATGA